CTAGGGTCTTCGGGGGTCTAGACCTGATGTGTGTGAGCGGCCTCTAAATGCACTTCAAAGCAATTAATTTGCAATAAAAGCATTTTTAATGTCCCCCAACCCATAAATACATACATGCATGATGCCCCATGTGTGTGCGTGTGTGTGTGTGCTGATTGATGACGCAATAGACCACACACACCCACCCAACCGCAAACCCCACCATTCCCCCTCTTTAAGCCGCTGTCTGCATTGCCTGCTTCGCTGGCTCATTGATTATTGCGTATACGCCGCATTGGTCAAAGAAACAAAAACATTGGTTAGACCTCAGGAAACAGTTCGATTTGCATGCTGATTTATATATGCTTTTATGCTAATTTAGGTAAGCGAAACTAGGGAATATTTTCTTATCTTTAAATACAACTTGCAGCCTGTTCTATTAAAGATAGCATACTTTTCAGGGCCCAAGCGTCGGGGGCATATAATTAATTGTATTGCAGATATTTAATAGATAATCTCTTTCAATATTCTGTATACTTTGTATATGAATTCTATAAAATATATTTAATAGTTTCCTGAGCTCAAGACTCTTTAAAGTTCACACAATTTCAAAGGCAAACTTAACAAAACTGACTTGCTTTACTTATACATTTCTCTGGACAATCCCACGTAATCGAGGGATTCCCTGGCTAGCTGACTAAATCTTTTACCGGCAACAGACTTTCGGGAGCCTCATCGTTTAGTGGCTATTTCGCCGCTTCCCTGCTGCTACTGCTGCTGCTGCTGTTGCAACCAAGTGCAGCTCGAAATTGCTGTCATTGTATTGTCAAAGCAACTTTGTGTGTCCGGGTGAACGTGTCCGGCTTTTTCGGGACCGGGGGGGGGGGACTACGGTCACGTAGTGGCAGGCTCTTATGTGCTGGCATCCTGTATCGTGCACCATGTCCTGCCCAGCTGTCACACATCCCGCGCACATTGTCACGCAATCAACGTTCTCCAAAATGGGAGACGACGACAACGTTCTCCGACTACGACAGCGACCTCTTACTCTTACCCCCTTTGCTGGGGGGTTGCCCCCGGTTCGGAAAGGGTCTAAAAATATCAACAAAATCGAAGCTCGTCACGCCGCCGCCATGTCTCTGCCCTGTCTGCCCCTTTTATTTGATCGATTTTCCGGCCTAAAGTCGTAGTATTTTCATAGTATAATGGCCACGCCCGGTTTGCTTTCTCCTCTTCTTTTCTCTTCTCTGCTTGCTTTGCTTTGCTTTGCTCTTCTTTTTCTCTTCCCTTTACTATTCTTTTCTTTTTCGACAACAGTTGTCATAATAATGTTATGTGATTCCCCTGACCTTGGACGACGCCTCTCTTGCCGTCTTTTTATTGATTTATTTTAAGTTAATTAAAAAAAAAAGGAGAAGAAACCAAATTTGGCAGAACGGGAAGCGTGACTGCAATTGAGCCTGGTAATTGTCATAATCAAGTGGCAAGTCCTTCGTCCTTTCCCCCCCAAAAGGAAGTCAAGTGTGGATGAGGAGGAGCACACAAAGTGGCCAAGTGGCTTTCACTTGAAGGTCTTCAAAAAAAGGAAATAGCATTCGCAAAGCAAAAGAACAAATGGAAAGTAGGAAAGGACTAGCTAAAATAAGTTATTAAAGTAATATATTAATTAATAGATTTATAATTTAAAATGTAAATTTACTTTCAAATAATTAAAAAACTTTTTCAAACAGGAAACTAATTTGTTTTCTTGAGGTTTCTAAATATAAATGAATCTGAATTGTGACTTTAAAGGCTTCCAATAATAATTCTTGGTAACCAAAAGCTAACTCTGTGATCTATATTTTATAATATATGTTCTTAGCATTCATTATAATTTTTAATATTTAAATTTTAATTAAAAACCTTAAACCATTGACCTTTTGCGCCTTCTGTTGTAATATATGGCTCTCTTCTGTAACTCTTTATACTGTATATATATATTTTTTCCCCTTATTTGTTACCGGGCTCATTTATCGTTTCCCGACTCTGTTTGTCTGTTTTTCCGTGGCAGGCACTGTGCTTTTCTTTTTCCACGTTTACCAAAATCAATTAAAAAAGGAGGCCGTCGCAGTTTGTTCTCCTTCCGTCCTTCCTGCCTCTCGTCCTGCCTCTCTATCTCTGTTTGTTTAGTGTAAACCGACGGAACTGAGCAAACATTGCAAATTTTTGTTGCCACTTTTGTTTTTGTTTTCGTTTTTTTTTCTGCTGCACCCAAACTTGCCTGCTTCCTCCTCTTCCTCCAGGTGGTAATCCCCAACTGCCTCTGTCATTGTCGACCGGCGACGACTAATTTTCAGTCCGCACGGTCGAGTTTTAGTAATTTCCGGACGGTGGAGAGTGTGCACACCCTTTCCACGAGTCCGGCAATTATGCCACGCCCCTGGCATTCCGTAATCCATATCCGTATCCTAAAATTGGAACTCTAGCAAACAGTGATGCCAGGATATAAGAGATGGAAATAAACTTGATTGACTTCCAAAGAGTAGAGCAGCTGATCTACAAGTAGATCTGCTTCTGTATCCTTTTTTAAAGAGTTTACAAGGCAAGCTTTTCAGTAAAATTTTCAATTAATAGGTAAACCTATTCTGCACCATATTTACTAGAATTTTCCTATATTTTCAAGGGAGTTCCTATGTAAGCACTATTCCCGGAGAGACATCCCATTGAATGTTGTGTTTGTATAGAGTGTCCTGCCTGTCATCCTGTTGCATCATCCCTTTGGCATTCTGGTTGGTCGCCTTTCTGCTTAAATCAAATATTTGTTAATAATCTGCAACAATAGGATGCAGGATGCAGGGTGCAGGATGTTGGCTGCCACTGAATCCCACTGAACTTTGACCCCTTCTTTGCCCGAATGGCCTTTTCATTGTCTGTCGCTCCTGCTCCTGCTGCTCCTGCTTTTGTTGTTGTTGTTGTTGCCATGCTACTGTTGTTTGTAATGCAATCAACATGAAAATAATTAATACAATTAAATGCAAACAATCCGCGCCTGCAGTCCCCCGGCTGCGAGTGTGTTTTCAATTTTAATTAAGCCGGTGCGAAGGAGGAGCCGATGCAAACGCTGCATACTTTCATGCGCAATTTGCTTAAATCGAATTATCAGGAGAGCATAGCGTAGCCAGGACATGCCATCCAGGGGGGGGGGGGGAAGGGGGTGGACAGGACAGGACATGGACATCGGGAATGGGCATCCAGAGTGGCCGTGTCCATGAGCACAGGTAATGGGAATTCGATTTATCGAGAGCTGTGTCCGGTTAATTGAAAAGTGTAGTGCCCTAACGCCGTTCAAGGGAGTTTACAAAAAGCAAGGATGGGCACTGAAAATATAACTAGGAGCAATATAAAACCCTATAACTAAACCCTCTTAGGGAGCACAGCAAAAAACATATGATAAATTTGTTTTTCTACAAATCAAAATCATAGAAATATTAGGAAATATTAATGTAATCTATATATATCATATACCAAACGTAAGAGGCTAATTTCCCGCTAAGATCCCAAAGCAGTAACCTATTATTTAAATCCGATTTCTAGCATAATTGCCAATTTGCTAGAAAATATTTGCAAATTACTATTTAATATGTTAACCCATTAACTGGTTGGCAAATGCTAATGAGTGGAAAAAGCTGAATTAAACGGTCTCTACTTAAAGTCGTTCTGGCAGATCCAATCCGATTCCGAGTTGATTATTATTAAGAACCAAAGAAACTGTGTCAGACACAAGCTGCTCTTTAAAAGAAAAAAGAAAAAAAGTGAAATATGAGAGCATGAAAATACATTCCCTGGACAACCTTCCGGATTTCCCCCTGTCCAGTGCAATCTCCAACTCCATCTCCAACGCCAGCTAATTAGAAGCAGCAGACGAGGCGACGGCAGTCAGTAAAGTGTGAAAAGAGGAGGAGGCTGAAGCTGGAACTGGAGCTAGAGATGGAGATGGAGTTGGAGATGGAGTTGGAGCTGGAGTGGGTGCTCTTGATTGGGACTGGACTGGCGTGGATTGGACTGGACACGCGACGGCAATCGCTGAGGCCTGACCACCACGAGAGCATTCAATCGTTCAATCATTTGCATGCCCCCCAAAAGACTTTCTAGCCTGGCATTCCCATTCAAATGTTCATTTGCAGATACTTTTCCAGATTTGAAGATGAATAATTAGCCATTTGAATATCACTCACATTTATGCAGAAATGTTCATTCAACTTGGGACTTCATTAATTCAGTTTAAATGCGCATTAAAGCTGCTTTGGTTAATTTCACAAAGAAAAGGCAATAGATGCAGTTTCTTATTGTAATTTTTAAGCCATGTTAAATTCTCAGTGAAAATGTGGATAATATATATAATCCAAAAAGAAAACTTTTAAGTCAATTGAATTATAGGATCAAATCTAAAATAGATCAGAACTAAGCTTTGAATCGATATGTATCAATATTTTTGCATGAAAATTTCTTCGACAAATCAATATTTAAAATACTCATAACTTAGCCAAAACATCTTTAATTTTAGTTCGGAAAGCAGTCCTATGTTAGTTTTTACTAGGTTAATAAATCTGCATACTCAATAAAAACTGTTAAAAATTTGACATTTTTACCACTTTTTCGAAATTTTAACGATGTAACCCCTTGTAAAATTATGAAAAATTGTAAAAAATTAAATTTTTGCGGGACATACCTAGATCGACGCGGATTTTTGTGCTGATCAAGAATATATATGATCTATGGGGTCGGAAATGACTCCTTCGCGAGTTAGAAGCTTCTGACTAAAATAATAATACCCTGAAAGGCTATAAAGATCTTCCTTCAATTTTAAATTGTTAATAAATGTCTCTTAATGTAAAACCTCTTTCTAATTTAAAATATTTAATAAACTCTTTGAAAGCCTCACAAATATATAACGTATACGTATACGTTTCTAATCTTGTTTTTAACCCAGCAAAAAATATAGTTTTATAAATATTAAAGAGATTTTTTGCTTTCAAACTCACCCTTGAGCAGATGCTGCAAGATGTTGTCCTTGTGCTCCTCCGAATGCGGCTCGCCCAGGACGATGAGCAGGTAGCAGCCGGTTAGGGGGCTGGGTGGACCCACAATTCCGCCGGCCAGGCTGGAGGCAGCGCCACCGCCATCGGCATCCGAGCAGGCCGTATCCAGGGGCGCCCGTCCGCCAATCTCCGAGGGTGGCAGCGAGCTGGCCCCCGCATCGGTGGCGGCATCATCGAGCTCCGCCTGCTCGGCCTGTCCGCCGGGCTGCTCTTGGTCCTCCTGCTGGGAGGGAGGCGGTGGATTTCCAGCCCCATTGGGGAGGATTTCCTGGTTGGTGGTGGCGGCCATAATGGCTTCGCCTGATCCTGCTGCTCCTCCGGCTACCCCTGCTCCTGCTCCTGCCCCTGCCCCTGCTCCTGCTCCAGTTGTGGTTGTCGTTGCCTTTGGCTGATCTCCCATCACAGTTGGTGTTGTCTTAGTCGCTGTTGTTGTTCTTTGTTGTTTGTGGTTTTTAAGTCACACAGAGAAAAAAAGAACTAGTTGTTTGCACTTGAAAAAAATAAACAAATGGGGAATTGCACTTTTTGCTGCTGCCTGGTAAGTTCTTTTCTTTAGTTATTTTTTTGCGCACGCAGAATTTTCTGGGAAAATCTGCGTTGCTTCACTTCACTTTTCTTTTGTTGGTTGTGTGTGTGTGTCTTGTGTGTGTGCCGAGTGTGTGTTTGCTTTGTTTGCTGGCCGTGACTTTGGCGCAGTTTCTTTGGTTTTTCGCTTTGCTTCGACTTTTTGCTCGCTTAATTGGTTTTCGTGTTTCGTTTTCGCTTTTTAACTTTTTACGTTTTATTTTTGCTTTTGTTTAATAATAATTTGTCTTGATTTTGTTGCTGTCTTTTTTTGGTTTTTATTTTGTATTGTTTTTGTTTTTTAGGCTGTTATTGTGCACACTTTGAAGCTGTGTTTGGTATTTGGTATTTTTTGCGTTTGTTTTTTGATGGAAAATCTCTTTTATTTGGTTTTTTCAGGCTTGGAGAGTAAGTTTTTTGTTTTATTTATTGGCGTGTTCTCTGAAGTTTTATTTTGTTAAATATATATAGTATATATAGTATATATATATATTTATTAGTGAAGATTTGGACTAGCTTTAGTTTGGTTTTTCTTTTGTCTTTCGCTTTGGTTTTTCTCTTTTAATTGGTTTATCGATAATTTTGGTTTTTCAAAATTCGTTTTCTCTCGGTTTTTCCTCAAGTGTTCTTCTTCGTTTATTAATTATTTTTGCTTTATAACTTTAGCTTTCTCCGCCGGGGCGACACTTGTCATATACAATATATATTTATCGTCGGATATCTGCAAGGAACAAGGAGAGAAAAGCACAGAAAATCCGATGAGTTAGTTGATAATATAAGGAATATATATTTGCAAGATATCAGGGGGATATATAGATAGATGATAGTCAGAGCCCTATTTTATGAGTTGTTCTTGCCATTCGGCCCTCCTGTCTCCCTTCATTTCCCAGACAGCCATTTCATCCGGGCGAGGTAGCCAGCCGGAGGAGCCGGCTATAAAAAGACGACCCGAGCAGACAGGAGAGGGAGGAGAATGAGAAGGAGTTGGAGTTGGAGTTGGAGTTGGAGTTGGAGACTGAAGACTGAGGACAGGAGGTGCCGCATATAAAATGCATTGAACTTTGGCCACCTCCCAGATGTACATATATGTGGAACAAGACCCAAGACCCAGACCAAGACCATGTGGCGAAAAACAGCAGAGGATTCGCATTAGAAGGTGGAATTAATTTCAAATTTCCCACAATATATATTTCAACGAAGTTTAAATGCTCTTTTCTCCGTTAAATTTTAATGTATCGGTTAAAACTATTAACGATAAAGAAAGCAAACTAGGTTTCAGCCGTGGTAATACAGTTTCTGGGAACTTTTTTCGACAAGTTTTACATAAAACTAATATAATTCCTGGGATTCATTATCAGAAGGACCCGAAGACCCGGCATACCAAAATTGGCAAACGAACCACAAGTTAACCCAGAGATCAGGGTAGAATAAATGTGGAAATATTATACATTTAGATGAATTTAAAAGTAAAGCTAAGATTTTCTTTTTGCTTTAAAAATAATAATTAAAAACTCAAACTAATCAAAAACTCTATTAACCAATGAAAAGCAAAGAAAATAGGGAAGGTTTCATCGCGGTTGGTAACCTTTTTTATGAAAATTTTCATGAAAAACTAAAACAATTTGTATGATTTATGATCACAAGGACCCAAAGACTCGACATCCCAAAATTGGTGGCCGAACCCCGAGCCAACTCAGAGATCAAGGCTTCCTTAGCCCACTATATCTCTTCCTTCCCTGTCCTCCCTGTCTCTTTGTGGGAAGGAAAACAGCAGTGCCAGGGACATGCACACGCCCCAAAATAGCAAAGCACAGCAAAGATGTCGTCATCGCCGGCCGGTTGAGGGTGCTCGCTCCATGGCAACGTTTGCCATTGGAAGCCACGACGACGTTGAAGGCGACGTCATCAGCCTAGGCCTCGCCATGGACTCACCCCCCTGTAATGACTGCAGGCGACTATACGACAACACAAAAACATAAAGTAACAACAAGAACAACAACAAAAAACTATAAAAAGCAACTCCTTTTTGGTCGCAATCCTTCAAGTTCTCCCCCGGATTCCGTCTCCGTTTCCATTTCCCGGCAACAACTGCAGTTTGGTCGCGTGGCCGTGGCCAAAAACGTTGCGCTCCACTGCGCCGGAGTAGTGGCACGAAGCTTGTGTCCCCCGTCCGTCCATGGTGATGATGATGGTGATGATGATTCACCGGACGGCAAGCAAGTGTTCCCTTCTTTTTTTCTGAACACAGAGTGGAGAGAGAGAGAGAGAGTGAGGAGGAGTTGCCGGCATTTCACACATGGAATATATGGAATATATCCTCATCCTCATCGCCTGAGTGTAGTGCGGAAATGATGGATGAGACGGCTATTTCGGTACAAGAGCCGGAGGCCTATGCAGTTCCTACAGTTCCTTTGATCTACTGGAGATCTTCCTCCGAGGAAGGCGGTGCTTCTTCGGCTTGAATTGCAGTGCAATTGCAACGGAAGTGGAAGTGGTGGAATCAATGGTGGAATCAATAGGTCACTTTTGGCACGCACTCAGGGAGGAGGGATTGGAACAAGAACAGGTACTTGGCTTTGAACTAAGACTGGGACAGGGAGCACGTGTTTTTTTTTGGGGGGTTTGTGTCTGGGCCACCGCCACCACCGTGGTTATATGATATCACCGCAAAGAAGCCACAGAAAAAAAACAACGAGGAGGCACTGGCTACAACAAAAAGGTTCCACATAAACGCGGCACATTGGACACCACACCATATCGTACACCGAAAAAAATGTAGTTAAAATATAGAAGAATTAAGCTGCTGATGAAGGAAGGATAGGAAAGGAAACGATTTCCTTTTTCGCCGCTTGCCAATTTACTTTTGGCTCTCTCTTTCTCTAGCTCCAGCCCCTCGATGTTGCCTCCCACTCTCACTCTCTCCCTTTCTCTCTCTCTGGAGTTGGACCTCGACTTGGACTTGGAGCAGGACTTGGACTTGGACGTGGAGTTGGAGTTTGCAGTTTGCAATTTGGAGTTGCTTCTGGGCCGTTGTGTGCGTGTGTGTGAGTGAGTGTGAGTGTGTGTGTGTGTGTGTGTGTGTGTGCCTGTGCCTCTGGCTGTGGCTCTGTGGATCTGGATCCCTGGCGGTGTGCTCTGCTCGGCTGCGCTGCGCTCGCTGCAAACGGTGTGAAAGCTCGACGACGACTGATTCTCTGCTCGAGCCATCGCGCACCACGAAGCGAGTGGAGCGCCACCGAGCCGGAGGCAGAGGCAGAAGCAGAGGCAGTGCAGCGACGCCAGTCGGCTGTCGGCAACTCCTACAGTTTTTCTTTTTGTTTCTATCTTTTTTTGTATTTTATTTTATATATATATTGGGTTTTTTTTTTGTGCCGCTGCGGTTGGAACTTCCAGCTGGGCGCAGGCTCGCTCTCTCTCCTTCTCCCTTTCTCTATTACTCTCTCTCTCTCTCTCTCTTTCTTGCTACTCAGCTGTAGTCCTTTATATCCTGTGCACATACCCTGTGTGACCAGGGGTGTTTCTGACCAGAGGAAAACATATTGCTATATATTTCTCAAAGTATCTAGTTTTAGTCTATAAAAAAAACTATAATATTCCCTTAGATATAGATAGTATTTACATCATTTAAATATCTAACGATATCCTATAATATATTCCTTGAAATATTCTCTCAATTTATCTTTAAAGGAATCCTGATTTAGGTATTTTTCAAGAAGACTAGCTACCTCTTCCTAATTTTTACTAAGCACTAAAAAGCCACTTGCAAATTCTTAGCTCAACACTAGAAATTCAACACTTTAAAACAACAATAACACTCCATTTCTCTCCCTCAAAATGTTCTCCTCAAAAAAAAATTCCAGGGTAATCGACACTTCGTCCCCATTTTCTTCGGATGCTTTTCGCTGCAGGCCGGGCTAAGGCTTCGTGGCGCCCGATTAGCAATTCGCCGGACTCGGTTTCGGTTTTCGGGTAAGGATTCGCTGATTCGCCGCTTCCAGTTAACCGACTTGGCTTCGGTTTTGGTTTCGTTTCATTTCGTACCGGCACCGGCACTGGCACCGGCATCACTGTAATGACCCCCAGCCTGCTCCTAGTCTCCTTTCGAGCTATGTCCAGTCATTGTCGATTTTTTTTCACTCCTTCCAAGTGGAATCCTAACCAAGAGGTGGCTGCTTACACTGGACTTTGGCCTGGCCTGCACGTGGTCAGCTGTTGGCGCCGGCTGCTAGCGGCTAATCAACTGCACAAGACACTCGGAGAACAGCGACTGAATGTGGGTTCGGACTTCGGGTTCGAGAGAACCAGACTGTGTGGTGGCTAGTCTAGTCGGGAAAGCCGGCATCCATCCAGCAAAATGACTGGAAGTCGGCTTAACGCTAATGAAATTACGCAATTTCCAGTTTCCCGAGGATCAGCCATGAATGGTTGGAGGGTGGGGGTGGCCTAAAGGAAGCTCTTTAAAAGGAGCAAGGAAATGAAGTTTATATCTCTTAATGAGTTAGTTTTAAATGGAAATCAATGAATAATAATATCCATAAATCCAAGTAAAACTGGAAGTAGTCATTCAATATATAAGACCATTTTAAGTCTCATCTTCCTGTGATCCCCCGTGGGCTTTGCTGCATTGGAATGGAATGAGAACTGGAAGGATGCCTTTCCCCAAAAACGACCATCTGATTTTGCACACACACACATATACACACACACCGGCCAGAAGTCCGTACTGCGAACAGCTGCCAGCGGCGGAGTGAGATATCGATTTTGCCTTTGCCGATGACTTCGGCTGCTTGCCGGCTGCACTTCGGTTGGCAAACGACACACGAAGGATGAGCAACGAAGGATAAACAGCTGACTGGTGTGCGAGTATGCGCTTGTCTGTGCATGTAGCCGCTGTGCTTGTGTAACGCTCAGCTGAGCGGGAAAGCAGCCGACCGTTGGATTTGAAACAGCCTGGGCAATGGTATGATTGGGTATAGGAATGCAGAGATGCAACATGCAGCAGCATGCCGATCTTAATGCTAATTCCTTAATGATATTCAACACTCACCTATGCTTTCATTTGGAGCTAGCTAACACTGGTGTCACTGGTGAATATTATTAATATTGTTAATTGTGGGAGTGGCTCTGGCTCTGACTTTGGCGTTTTATATGGATGGAGCAAGTAGTTCTTAGTAGTTCTCTTGATTAAAACTTTATCAATTTGGTTTTAAAGCTTAGCACAAAATGGACACTTGATTAATTTCGAATTAGCACAAAGCGGACGCGATATTGGCAAAAAGCTTTAATTAATTTATTAACTCGATTAATGTTTTTTTTCTATATTTATATTTTGTTTTTGTTGATTTATTGTATTTGTTTTTACGGCAAATTCAGCTTGTATCTTTGTTATTTGTTATTCCCGGTTGTTGCTGGCAACTTCTTCAGGCTTCAGAGTTTTAATGTCTCCGAAACTGAATAAACTTTAGACGGATATTGATTTTTAACTGCTGTCACTGTGCCTCTCTGTCTCTGTCTCTTGCTCTTGCTCTTGCTCTTGCTTTTGCTTTTGCTCTTGCTCTGTTTCTTTCTCGACTTGTGTCTCTGGTCTCTCCTCTACGGCCTGCTCCTGCTGCTGCTTTGTTGTGGCTCTCAAGGAGTACGAGGCTCGCGGGCCTAATTGATTGATTGCCGCTGGTCCGAGCGCTGGCATTTAGCATTTAGTAGCACGGCTCCACTTGCTCT